CTATAGTGTTGAATGGAAACTAGAACAAATATACATTTTTGTGTTCCCATTTGCTTCAGTAGAAATAGTACAACAGCATTTCAATGACTTTCCAAAAGAGGACAAAAATATCAAGAGATTGATTATAGTGGTCAGACAAGAGAAAGCTGTACCGTCCCTCCTTCAGCTTAGAATCACTCATACAGTAATTTAATGTCAAGTTAGTGTAACACAAAGTGTAATATTATAAATGTACATCACATTTTTTAAATGAAAATATAAAATGCTACAAGAAAATACTATTTCAGACAAAATTTTATGTAATTTAATGGTACATGTAATTGTCATACTTGTCATTTCTATGTAATTATTTCTGAAATGTATAAGCAGTTTCTTAGTGAAAACTGTTTCAAAGTAAATCATACACATGTTTTTTTTCAGTGTAGGGAAATAAAATCTTTATAGCATTCAAAGACTGTAAAAGGCCATTATGTAGTTATTTAAAATAATAATAATACTTTGTAAGATTTGCAGTTGTTGATAACTATGGAAACGCCATTACATTCTGTAAAAGGGGTTCATTTCACATGCAAAGTGAAGGTTTACATAGACATCTCTTTTAGACATGGCAGCAAAAGTACATAGCTTGCTTCAAGGTCAGCGAGAGGATGGAAAACACTCATGAAAAATAAATTACGGCTATTTTTAGCATCCTAAGTGGACCTCAGGGATAAAAACTATGCATAACTTGATTTGACCACTTTAAATGAAAAAGAAAACCATACGTTTGTATTCTAGTGGAAAAGGAGGTGATAGGCCATGGTTTACTGGAGGTGACACAACTGTGAATAGCTGAAGCATTGAGGTCGGGATGATCATCTCCTCCAGTCAGCTGCTGAGTGTGTGACCCGGAGAGGGAGCAAAGGCTAGACCGAAGATCCAAACAAACGCGGGTGGCAGCAGCACACACACACACAGCATGGGAAAGAGGGAGGGGAGAAGTGCCGAGGAAAAGGGAGGGGCCGGAGAAGGAGGCGGGAGGGAACAAAACAAGGGAAAGAGTAACTCTGCGAGTGGGAGAAGGAAGAAAGCTGCGGTCCGCTTGAGTTTGACGCCAGGCATGCGGCATCTTCGGCACAGCACAGAACCAAAATAGAGCTGGGAACGTGGGCCGCGCTTTAGGAAAAGGGGACTGAGAGGAGAAGGGACCAATTCCCAGCCATGAATCCCAGCGGCTCTCTACGGAGGCGTTTGTCCTCCCTTCGCGATGCTTGGAGGTGGAGTACGGGTTACCTGTTCAAGGTAGGCCTTCGGGTTTCCACCGAACTTTTGCTCCTTTCTGGATTGTAGGTCTTGTAGGCAACTTTTTCCTCAAAGCTCTCCCTCACTTTAGTCCCTGTGCTCTCTGATTGTTCATTTGTCGGGCCTGCTCGAAAGCAGCGTTTCCAGCTGGTTTTGATCAAGCCTGGTTGAGACCCTCTCCAACCCCCCACCCACCCATTCTTGGCTGTCCTTCTGGGGGTCGCAATTATCGGCTGATTAAGGGAATGTTTTTGGAGCCGGGCACCGTGTGGCGAGAGATGGAAGGTGGACCCTATGGATGGATAGAGGGGGTTTGCAATGCCAGGGTGTTTTACTCGAGTGTGTCACAATGGCTTTCTCGGGCTATAAGTGAGCAACTTTGGCAGTCTCTCTTAGTATGGCTTATTTGTATTTCCTTGTGTTTTATGATCGTTCATAATGGCCTGGCCCAGTAATCTATACACACAAAAGTGTGTTACCCTACAAAATGTGTTAATGGATTTTTACAGTCTGTTCATTGAAAGCTCGATTAGGCTCTAAATACTATACAATAGTGCAAACAATATTGTAATAGATTTCACTGGATTCTTGGAAAGGAAAATTATTTAGGAAATGAACGCTGTGGGAACATTTTACTTTAATATGAATGCTCTTTAAAGGGACATCTCACCCAACAGTTAAAATTCTGTAACACCCTCATGTTGTTTCAAACCTGTATGACTTACTTTCTTCTGTGGTAACAATATATTTTAGATTGGTGTTTTTGTGCGTACAATGTGAGTCAGTGTTGTTTTGGACCCCATTGACTTTCATTGCGTGGACAAAAACACTTGACACTTTCTTAAAAATATCATACAGGTTTGGAATGACATGATGAGGAGTAAATCATGACAGAATTTCGTTTTAGGAGGACTGTTTCTTCAAGTGATTAGAGAATTCATTAAATAAATTGTTGAGGGTTCCCACGGTTAGTTTTGTGATTTCCAGACCTGGAAAAGTCTTGGCAATTAGGTGATGTGTGTGCAATTTTTAACGGTTTTGGTTTTTGGATCTTGACCAGTCCCACACTGCAGCATTGACCAATTGCAAGCGTTTGGGGTGGGACTATCTATTTGCTAACCAATGGCAAATTGGTTTAGGAAAACCAACAATAATTTTGCTATGCCCTTTGCATTTTCTTTTCTCAACCAAATGAAATTCCAAATGGGTTTTGTTAAGACAGTATGTTCTTGGTAATTTCTTTAGTAAATTAATTTTTATGTACTGCTTTTAAAATATTATGCTAGGCAATACTCATTAAGCAATTTCCCAGTTCCCAACAAATTCCACGGATTCAAACCCCAGTGTGTTGTTTTCTTATTGGCGACATTTGAACTTGAAATTTTCACATCATTTCATTTCCTTTAAGTTGTTCTATACTATTCTAAGACTGCTACATATGGGAAACCACATGCGAAGTCCATACAGTTTCTAGAAAAGGCCCCAGCACTGTGTGTAATTATACGTTGGATTCTGGGTTTTCTTAGTAAGCATTGTTCCTTTTTAGTCATGTCAGTCATGCACTAGTATGTCATTTAGCTGGTGAGTGTAAACCACGCATCTTTCAAGGCTTATCCTTCTTTTGTGAGACCATTAACACTTTGACTTTTCTTAGCCTCTAAATGTAATTTTACAGGTGAAAAGTGTGTTTTTGTTCCACTACCCACACTAAACCAAGTATAGTGAATAGATGACACACCTTTCAGTGTCTCCTGTGTGAAATCCATTTTATTTCATCCCTCACTTCACAAGCTGTCATTGCATTTACAGTATATACAGCTAAGAGGACATGCTCAGTGTTAGATACAGACCTACACGCTCACATCAGCTCTTTTCAGACTGTATCAACACAGTTTTACATACAGATAAACACAAACTAAAAGTAACTGTTGAAACAAATGGCCTCGTCATTGGTGTAATCAGTAGAACAGCCTGAGTTCTGGAGATGAACAGTGAACCTCCCTTGAGGATAACTGGTTTACGGTCATTTTTAAACAGGAAATGGGCTAAAAACATCTGGAAACTGTCATATTTGTGAGATCATTATTAGTGATAGACTACATTATCAGCCAGGCTGAAAAAGATTTGGTAATTTTGAGATTATCTGCATAGGCTAAACAGAGAGTTTGCTGTATGTTGTGTCAGTTCCAAACTATATATATATATATATATATATATATATATATACATAGAATATAGAATATAGAATAGAATTTTGAAAAAATAATATAATTATTTGTTGTACAACTTTATGGTCATTTAATTGTTTTGTGAATATATTAGCATTATATCAACCATTTAAAAAATTATGGATTTTCAGAATGTATGCTTATAGAATAAAGATTAATATTTGAGAATCTTCCATTGACTTCCATTGATAGAATGTTCGGCATTTAGAACTGTGTGCAGTTCCGATCTTGTCTTGCAGCTGTATTTAGACGCACACTACCACTCAAAAGTTTGGGATCAGTAAGACTTGTAATGTTTTTTAAAGAAGTCTCTTCGGCTCATCAAGGCTGCATTTATTTGATCAAAAATACAGAAAAAAACAGTAATCTTGCAAAATGTTATTACATTATAAAATAATGGTTTCCATTTTAATATACTTTAAAATATAATTTATTTCTGTGATGCAAAGCTGAATTTCCATCAGCCATTACTCCAGTATAAAGTGTCATTCAATAATTCTAATATGCTGATTTATTAGAATTATCAATGTTGGCAACAGTTGCGCTGCCAAATATTTTTTTTTGGAAACTGCGATACTTTTTCAGGATTATTTGATGAATAAAAAGTTAAAAAGAACAGCATTTAATCAAAATATAAACCTTTTCTAACAATATACATCTTTGCTATCACTTCTTATCAATTTAACACATCCTTGCTGAATAAAAGTTTTAATTTCTTTCAAAAACAGAAAGAATAAAAATTTACTGACCCCAAACTTTTGAACGGTAGTGTATAGTGTTAGAAAATATTTCTATTTAAAATAAATGCTCTTCTTTTTAACTTTTTATTCAAAAAAGTATCACGGGTTCCAGAAAAATATTAAGCAGCAGAACAGTTTCCAGCACTGATAATAAATCAGCATATTAGAATGATTTCTGAAGATCATGTGACACTGAAGACTGGAGTAATGATGCTGAAAATTCAGCTTTGCATCACAGAAATAAATTATATTTTAAAGTATATTAAAAATCGAAAACATTGTTTTAAATTATAATAACATTTTGCAAGATTACTGTTTTTTTCTGTATTTTTGATCAAATAAATGCAGCCTTGATGAGCCGAAGAGACTTCTTTAAAAACATTACAAGTCTTACTGATCCCAAACTTTTGAGCGATAGTGTAAATGCACATTTACAGTGCATAGACGTTGTGTCTGTTGCACTGTATTGATTTTCATACAGATGTGGCCGTTAAGGATGCACATTTTTTCACGCGGCAGCATGCAATTCGTTACATGTGATCATGAAGCTCCCTGCAGGTGCTTTTTCAGATTTTTTTTTAAAACGTTGTGTTTAACCAACAGAAAACAATGGGAAATCGGCTCTGATGGCCTAAAACTTTACCTCTGTTTTTGTCTGACTGTTTCCTTCAGGAAGCATAAATCTAGTTCATACACTGGCTTTACTCAACTACATTTTCATGATCCTAACTAGAATTTTCTTTTCTTTTAGGGCTCAACCAAATCCTCCAAGAGCATGGAGTCTCGACGCAGGCCATCTAAGTAAGAGATGTCTTTGTCTTCATCAGAAATCAGTTCAGTCAATATCTCATGTGTTGCTGTATATGCTGCTATAGTGAACATCTCAAGGGATCTTCATAGCATTCCTAAATCCAGCACCGGTTGACATTGGACTCTGCTTGGATCAGTCTCACATTTTTTATTGCAGTTTATGAGTACGATGAATAAACACTTTTTAAAGCATCTACACAATCTCCAGAGATAAGTTACGATGTCCTAATAGGGCTTCTCTCCCACATACAGTATAGTAGATAAATAACGGCACGTTTATCTTGAGTGATTTGCTTGAGCGTTTGCTATAGATACAGGCAGTAAAGGAGGCACTGAAAACAAATCCTTGTTACCATATTTACGCATTAATTTCTATAAGGAAAATGAAGAATATATGCAACGGAATAGGCTATGTGGAAAAAAAAAAAACTTTTTTTGAAAGTGCAAAAAAAAAAAAATCACACAACTTTTAGGATTGTTTATCTTTCTAAAAAAATACTAAATATATTTATTTCTCTATATTTATTTTAGAGTGGTAACCTGGGTTTGTTTGTGCCATTGTATACAATGGTAACCATTTATATCTCAGTATTTATGGAAGGTAAACTAAAACAAAGTTTATACAGTATATTACATAAAAAATGTGGTAATGGCTATTTTTGGATTCTTCTACACAAGTCAAATGTACTTCATCTCACTTGATTATTCTATTATTCTTTTTATTTGGAACTCGACGGATGCAAACCAAAAGATAAGAATAATCAAATCAAATGAAAGATTAATCTTGCGTTATGTAACAGATCTCTGATCCATTCCGATGGTCTTATGTCTCTCAGCTGTTGGGTGTGTTCATGCCAGGCTGTGAGAAGACGCTTTGTGAAATTCACCACTACAAATAGCCCATTTCAGCCAGGGGGAATTTTTGCTTTTTATTTACATGGGCTGCTATTTTATTTGTCTCTTTTTATGGGAAACTCTCCCTTGGGACCCTTTGTTTTTCTGCCAAAAAGCGCATTCCTGTTTTCATTGGTAGATGGAGTTTGTGCAGTAGATACTGTACTCTGGTTCATTTCTGGAGACTGAATTGCACCCGCTGATTGCGCTGTTTTATTTGCATGCGCTATCTGTGTTGTTTTAGCTACCATTCAACTCAGGACATGTGCAAATCAGGTAACAGTGCAAACATGCCCACATAATCTATGAAAAGCATCTGAGATGCACAAACCTGAAATCATCTACTCCTTTGCCATAATTTTATCATCACTTAGGCTACGTCCACACGAAGCCAGAGCTTTCCCTATCCAATCTTTTTTTTCTCCTTGTCTCAAGAAATATCTGCGTCCGCACGAAACCACGAAACCGACACAAAACAATGTAGTATACATGCCAGACCATCATGTGGTGTTGTAATTCTGCCGCAGAGATGCACTAAAAATGGAGAAGAAGACTTGGACTATGCACATATACCTTGCGCGCGGTATACTAACGAACATGGAACAATACATTTATGAATCTGTGTTAATGTTAGTTAATAAAAAGACAATCGTTCAGTGTTTGTTCATGTTTTTGTTGCTGTTACATGATGTAGCGGTGACAAGGGGCGAGACGTGGGCTGATGACGTCATCGTTTCAGAAAATATACGGATTCACTGTCCACACGAAAACGCAAGGGCTGCATTTTCAGATTTATCCACTCTGGGACCCAGTTTAAAAAAATTTAAAGTTTAAAAAAATATCGGTTTCTCTCACCCAAAACGCCGGATCTGTCTAGACGAAAGGCCTATACGATACACAATTTATGCATATACAGCTAAACGCGTCTCCGTGTGGATGGGGCCTAAATGAATATCTACTTCTGATTTTAGTATGAAAGTAATAGACAAATAGACTTAGAACCTGGTGAAGATGGATTATTTGTGCTTGGTGAATATGCTTGCTTAAAAGGGAATTAATGCACAAAACTTTTGGGCTTCCAAAATGATTGTGGGATCGGGGGAAATCCTTAACATTAAAGGACTGTTTAGGGGGTTGCTATGCCTTGTATTGTCCACACACTGAGATCAGCCAGAATCTCCTGAGAGTTGTGCAATGTTGTGCATGTTTTCCCAGACTGTGGTGCAAGTACAATGTTTATATGTCATGTACCACTCACAATCATGTGTTATTTACATTTATTTATCCAGCATGCACTGAATGCAAGCCGCTTTTCTATTAAAATCAGCCATGGAGGGATTTACATGATTTACTGTGGCTGCAATGCCCAGAAAACATGACAGATTCCAGATTTTCAAGGCTAAAAATGGGCCTCACCAACAGGTATCTTTCCAAAAGCTAGTCTGCCCGAGTTCAAACACTTTGGCCCTCATTTACTCATGGTTTGTATGCTCTCTTCCAAAACATAGTGAGCTGCCTTACTCTGTGCTCCCTACTTGTTGGCTTTTAAGGCAGCACACTGTACAAATAGCACTGCTCACTATTCAAGTGAACCCTAAGCAAGCTCATTGATTTCAGTAAAATGCTTGGTGGTAGCATGTTGCAAAACTAACAAAGTAAATGTTAAAAAAGTAAACTATAAAAACTAAAATAAACACAAAAATGCATATTTATTGGATGAGAGTCTGTTTTTCATTATACAGAACATACAGTATGTACTGAATGAATATATAAATACCATAATAGTAATACAAAATACATTATTATTATTATTATTATATTGTATAATATAAATAAATAATCAAATATTAAATATATATATATATACAGTGGGTACGGATATTGAACATGTATTGAATTAATATTAATATGAAATATAATAATAGTAATAATACATAATATATAATACATGATAGATAGACTGACAGACAGATAGATAAATATAATAAATAAATAATACATTAATATACTATTTATTTATAATAATATTTATAATAAATAAATGTAAGCCTAATAATATTGACACATTATATATATATATATATATTATTATATTTATTTTTTTTAATCTTATTTATTTATTTTATTTAGTTTTCTTTTAAGATATTGATTGCAATAGAGCTTGTCACAATGCATTCTACCTTTTGGAAAACAAATTTGGGAGCACACTGAAATGCTGCCTACTTAGGAATCTCACTAGGTTTTGAAACAAAGCCATAGATTAAAAGATGGCTCTACTTCTCTCTGATTGCCTTGAAATCCAGACCTGAGGAGAGAGTGAGGTCACAGATGGGGTCCTGATTGTGGTTACATCCTTGGCAGGCTTACGCCTCACCAGTGACCAAATTGTTTTCCTTGGTCTGCCCTGCTGCACACATGGAATGCAGGATATTTTCATATCTCCTTTGTTTATCTCTGCGATCAATCTTTCCCCACTATATTTTATTCAAGCCATACTGAACATCAGATATGCTTTAATAGACTGTTCAGTGCTGACATGTTTGAGGTGAGGCGTTCTTCAGGAAAAAAATGATTTCATGATGTCATGTGCTGAGACACAAGACTTGCTCGACGTGCTCGAGTTGTGAATTGCCTTCGTTGCACACCAGGGGTTGTAGACATGAACTGTAAACTGAACTGCAAGTTCTCTATCCATTCTCTGATCTTCTGGTTTTTGCAGGAGCTTGAGTTTGATCCAGGCCATGGAGGAAAACTATGAGGTGGACCTGGTCTACATCACAGAGCGCATCATTTCTGTGAGCTTCCCCAGTAATGTAGAAGAGCCGAGCTACAGCGCTAACATAAAGGAGGTCGCCACCATGCTACGCTCCAAACATGGGGACAACTACTTGGTAAGACCTCAAAACTCAATATCTTTGAGTACTAAAATAAGTGTATTAGTAGTTGCAATACTATCACAGACTTTGGAAAAAAAAAAATAATAATTCAAACCTTTATATTCATATAATTTATTTGTAACTTTATTTTCATTATTATACTTATATATATTTTTATTATTAAATTAAGATATATATTTATTTCTGGTTTTATTATTTTTATTAACTTAAAAATGTTTTTTTTTTTTTCAGCTCTTCAACCTCAGTGAAAAGCGCTATGATATCTCCAAGCTGAATCCCAAAGTAAGTAGTATTTACTTTCACTTTTTAATGTTATCTAATGTGGAGATGTTTGTTCCTTTGTTCTTATTCACGCGCCGATGTGTTTGTTTGCGTAAGGTGCTGGATTTTGGCTGGCCGGACCATCATGCTCCAGCCCTGGATAAGATCTGCAGCATCTGCAAAGCCATGGACACTTGGATGAACGCTGACAGTCACAATGTGGTGGTCTTACACAATAAGGTACTGTTTAATTTGTGCTTTTTCTGTTTTAGGAATGGGAGACATGTTTTTTGGTAACACTAGCAACAAACGTCACAATGTCGCGCAGTATGTAAAAAAAACCTAGTCAGATGGGATTTAAGATTTTATAAGTGCGCTACTGATACGAAAGCTGCTCCAAAAATCACTAAAATAAATATTATATTATATTGTAATATTAAATATATTATATTAAAATATAAATATCTATATTTACAGACAATCGCTTAATCTAATTTATACATAAATGTAAATATATATTTTACATAAAAAATTGTATTTATAGTAGGCCTATTTATTTAATTTAATAATAAAAAACTATCAGTAAAGATAAGTAAATTGCTATTCTAATAAGAGACAAGTTTTTTTGAATGCTTATTAAAATATTGTGTTGTTAGTTTAGCAACATGCTGACTCTATTGAAATCCATTGTGATTTGAATCTTATGAGGCTTGATGCGTGTTATGATGTTCCCTAGGCAGTAGCCAGCAGGACAGCTCACTAGGTTTTGAAACGGAGCCGTAGTGTTGTGTTTGCCTAATAATTTTTTCATCTGCACATTGTAGTTACTGTAAATAACAGCCATATTGGTTTGTCAGTAGATGGCATTCTAAGGCAGCTCTTAATAAACTGGGACGGTGTGGGGTCATTAAAGGTCATGGTGGTCTGGACAGTGTGATTTATGATGCAATTGCAATGTCTTTATGTAAGAAAACATGCCTGATTTTACTTGTAGAGTTAATACTTGGCCATTGTTTTGAAAGCCTTTGCCTGACCCTGTCTTGAGGTTCAAGCAAATCTGTTTTCTTAAAGAATTCATTTGAATGTATCCTTCTGATCTGGTTATGTCACATAGCTGGTTACCACTTACAAACATTAGAATTATGAGAACACGTTTTAAAGTTAGATTGTAAATTTTTTCTTGTTGTTTTTGTGGATAGCGGTATCGTTAAGTGCCTCGCTAATGAAAGGGATTCTGTCCGTGAGTATAAACGTCAGAAAAACAGCCTCTTGTGGAGTTTGTGGGTTACCTTCTCAATGGCTCGCAAACAGACCCGACTCTTTCCACACCCTCAAGACGCATCTTACCCATTACTAGAGCTCCGTGAGAGCTTTAAGAAGTGCCAAGAGAGGTTGTGATCTGGATTTATAAAGGGCCAGAGATGTCTTAACGCAAATATGCTGCCTTTTTAACAGGAAACCATAAACACTGCATTGTTATGGCAGCTTGTGTTGTTCTTTGTAACAGTGGAAACATGAGGCAATGGCTTGATGGTGGAAATGTTCACTCATTCAGAAAGAACACAACTGTGTGTTTAAAATGGCTCAAACCATACATGAAATAGTTTGTTTTAAGTTCTTTGCTGACCTGATGTATCGTGACGTTTTGGTCATTTGTGCTCTGAAGTACCTTTTGAACTCTGGAACAGTGTTACATTAGTATTAGAACATAATGTAGCATTATAGTATTTTATTTTGATATATTCCATTTACATTTTCAAATGTAGTTTAGTTTTAGAAATTTAGTTTAGTTTTTTTGTTGGTTTTATTAGACATACTTAACTATTTCGTTTTATGTATTTACATTTTTTTAAATTACAGTTTTAGTTTTGTTCTTTTCAGTTTTAATAATTTTAGTTCTTCAACTTAAACTAATTGAAAATTTGAAATGCTTCCTTGGAAACTAACTGAAATAAAGTTTAAGTTTATTTTATTTTATTTTAATTAACAAAATGTTTTTTATATGCTGTCATTCATATGATATAAATAATAAATAATGTTTTTTTATATTTTTATACATACTAATTTAATTTAAAGTTTGCACACAACACAATTTAATGTTTTGATTTGTAATACTAATTTATACCACAAAACATCTCATAATTTATCAATTGCTAATATTTGTGCTACTGTTTTCCCAACAAAAGATGATGCCACTTCCTTTTAAAGGCTTTTACAAATAACTAACAGGGTTAAAAAAAAAAATCTTTAGGACAGAAAAAAACTATAAAAATATTATATTGACATGTAAATGTATTAAATCTTGATTCTTGAGAAATGTGCTTTGTTTGTATCCGTTTGATTATAAAAATGTAATAAATATATAAATAAACGGTACATTTTTCATGTTAGACGTTCACTTAATTGTAAGATGTATAAAAATAAACAAACTAATATGATTTACATTTGAAAAATGGATTAAAAAAAAATAAAAAATGGATTAAATAATAATAATGGAGGCATGAAATAATGTATTGCATTCATTGATAATCCCATCTTCCTCTCATCCTGCAGGGAAACCGAGGTCGAACGGGGGTAGTTGTGGCTGCGTACATGCATTACAGCAACATATCAGCGAGGTAAGACGTGTAGACAGAGTGCTGTCTGTGTTTATTGAATTAAAGATGCTCCTCTGAGCGCTTATTATGGAAAGACCTTAATCCCACATCACAAGACCGGCCATGCGTTAGGTAACACATGAGTGGGTGCCAGCGGGAAAAACAACTGCCAAATCGCATCACTTTACAAAGGCGGATTTGTCTCAAGACTCAAATTAAGTACTGATCAAATTCATCCCTGATGCAAAAAGTGTATTCATGTCTATTCAGTCTATTTTATGGATAACAAAAATATGTGTCCAGCAGCCATATCACCCTGTAGCCTAAGACTGGTTGCCCACTGAAGCTAAGCAGGGTTGAGCCTGGTCAGTACCTGGAGGAGAGACCTCCTGAGAAAACTAGGTTGCTGCTAGAAGAGTTGCTTGGGAGGCCAGCAGAGGGTGCTCACCCTGTGGTCTGTGTGGGTCCTAACACCCCAGTATAGTGACACTATACTGTAAAAAGCACCGTCCTTCAGATGAGACATTAAACCGAGGTCCTGACTCTCTGTGGTCATTAAAAATCCCAGGATGTCCTTTGAAAAAGTGTAGGGGTGTAACCCCGGCATCCTGGCCAAATTCGCCCATTGGCCTCTTCAGTTCAGTTCAATTTTATGTATATAGCACATTTAAAAACAACCATGGTTGACCAAAGTGCTTAACAATGTCTGGAAAAACGCACACACACAAACAAGACAAATACAGTAAAAGCATCACAATGTCTCAGCTCAGCTCGAAATAAAAGCCAAGGAATACAGGTGTGTCTTAAGTAATGACTTAAAAATTCAGTTCTTATGTGTACAGGTAAACTATTCCACAAATTAGGTGCCACCACTGAAAAAGCTCGGTCACCTTTATTTTTTAACCTGGCTCTCGGAACATCGAGGAGCACCTGATTGGACGACCTCAGCGCTTTAACAGGAGTGTGGACATGTAAAAGCTCTGATAAATAAGCAGGCGCCGCCAACCCATTTAAAATCTTAAAAACAAACAATAAAATCTTGAAATCAATCCTGATGGCCTCTGACCATCATGGCCTTTCAACCATCCCCGTATCTGCTGATTGGCTTCATCACTTTGTCTCCTCTCCACCAATGAGCTGGTGTGTGGTGGGCATTTTGCCACAATATGGCTGCTGTTGCATCATCCAGCTGGATGCTGCACACTGGTGGTGGATGAGGAGATTCCTCCCCTTCCACGTAAAGCGCTTTGAGTGCCCAGAAAAGCGCTATATAAATGTAACAAATTAATTAACTAATTACTTAATTAATTAAAAGCTTCCAGTAAATTCAAGAAGCACATCACTTTGTCTCCTCTCCACCAATGAGCAGGTGTGTGGTGGGCATTTTGCCACAATATGGCTGCTGTCGCATCATCCAGCTGGATGCTGCACACTGGTGGTGGATGAGGAGATTCCTCCCCTTCCACGTAAAGCGCTTTGAGTGCCCAGAAAAGCGCTATATAAATGTAACAAATTAATTAACTAATTACTTAATTAATTAAAAGCTTCCAGTAAATTCAAGAAGCACATTTAAATACTTTTCCTGGAAAACAAGACAAAGATGCTTATTATGAAAGTTTTTTTTTTTTTTTTTTTTTTTTAGCGTTTACAATAATGTGTGTTTCCTTTGCCTCTGCAGTGCAGACCAGGCTCTGGACAGGTTCGCCATGAAGCGCTTTTATGAAGATAAAGTGCTTCCTGTGGGTCAACCCTCCCAGAGAAGGTCAGTGGTGCTTTGTTTTCCCCATCTGACCTCTTATCTTTGTGCTTTATGAGTTTGACCCTCATTGTGAGCGTTCAGCTTCAGCCATTGTTCAGATTTATGAGCTTCACCCTCCTGATAACACAGCCCTAAACATGCAAACGATGCCTGTATAGGTTTGTTAGGGTGAGTTAGGTTATGTGTTGTTTATCTAACCATACCCTATGGCAGTGTGGTATCTCATTCTATCATCACTTCTTGATGTTGCGTAATCTCTCCAAGGTTTTCGAAGCACCTCATGTCTGATCTGGCCTCAGGACCGCCACTATTGTACATGCAAATTATATATCTTTCACTACAACTGGTCTCAGATCAGATGTGTTCAAATTATTGCTGCAGTTGCATTACAACTCACTGCAACATTTTTTTTTGTACTACTAACAAAAATAGTAAGGCGTACATTTATATAGGCATACATAGTATACTATGATTCAAAATGTTGGGGTCAGTGAAAAATGAATTATTTTACAAGGGCACATTAAATTGATCAAGCATGATAACAAAGACATTTATAACGTTACGATTTCTATTTTAAAAGTAATGCTGTTCTTTTAAACTTCCTATTCATCAAAGAATCCTTAAAAATGTTTCATTGTTTCAACAAAAATTAAAAAAATGTTTGTTGAGCAGCTATTAGAAAGATTTCAGAAGGATCATATGACACTAAAGACTGGAGTAATGATGCTGAAAATTCAGCTTTGCATCACAGGTATAAATTACATTTTACAAACATTTGACAAATATTTTAAGTTGTAATAATATTTCAAAATTTTTACTGTACTTTTGATTAAACAAATGCAGCACTGGTGAGCATAAGATACTTCTTTCAAAAACAAAAAAATCAAGCTGACCCCAGACTTTGCATGGTAAGTATGCGTGTCTGCATAAATATATATGTATTTTTGTATATTTTTCTTTAGTAGGTAATTAATAATTTACACTGGGAGGCTTTTATCTTGCCAAATTCATCCTCGTTTCTCAAACGCTCAAATCTGCACATACTAGTTGTGGAAGATATGTATGTCAGAATTCCTAAAGAATGATAATTTCATAAATATGTGGTGGAGAGACGCTGGAAGGCCATGTTTGGGATGCTGGCCATTTGTGTTGTTATTTCCTGAGTTATAATTAGACGTAAGTGGTTGCGAGTGTCATCTATTCTGCTGTTTAGCTTTATATGTACAGTGGAGTCAAAAACAAGACCAAACTTGGTAGTTTAAACATTTCTAAACAAGGATAATTATGAATTATGTGCAAAAAGGAATATTTTATACTCTGCACTATTATTAGGTCACTAATCAAATAAGCAAAATAAGTGGCAATGATCATATGACTCTTTGCTTAGACAGTCAGATGTTCTCGCTTCCATTGATGCAAGATCGCAATGCTGATTGTGAATGGAAAAATGATATATTAAAAAAAGAATGTACAATATAAATATTTTCACCAGTAGTTTCACAGATTTTTGAACTCCATTGTACAGTTTCAAACCCAAAGGTGCTGATATAAGTGTACATACGCTTTGTGCTTCAGTACACATTTATGGCTCATAAGGGAACACTTGGCCACGGATGTGCTGCTTTTACAGAATCAGGCATTCCATCTGTGTATGGAAGGACTGGCACTTCAGGCTTCATTAAAACTAGATTTCATTGGGGCACATACTTGCGCTCCCTTCATGGAAAATGGAAAGGCAGAGTCATGGTAAGGGCTTTGCTCCAGGTGGAAAGAAGCAGATTTCTGCTCTTCTGGAATAGAGGAGCTTAGGAACAAGTGAATGTTCATGGGAAACCAGGCCTCGGGCGTTCAGCAAGGAAGATGCAGAAATGCACTGTCCCTCTCCTGGGACACGGCCTCAACCTTCAAGAAGAAAAATGCTTTTTCCTGTTTATAAAAGCTAACATCTGTGCTAAGAGATTGGAAACAACTGCAGATCAAAATGTCTCATGACCCTAAATGGTCTTCACAACAGTTTAGGTAGTATGTCATGTAATATGACTCTCCTGAATATGTCTTTTGCTTGAAACCTAAGACTTTCACACACTCCGCGAGATTATACTGTACAACAGGTGCATCTGTGTTTTCTAAACTTTTTTTTTTTTCAGTAGTCAATGGCAGTACCATTAAAATCTCAAGATTTTATGAAGGTTTTATGCAGCAAAACTAATATGCTGTTGAAAATGGTAGCTTATTTAAAAATAGTAAAAATACAGTAAATATGAAATATTATTATTTTTCTAGATATACTTATTTTTGTAAGCATATACTGTTCGTGGTAACACATTACAATATGGTTCAAATGTTAACGGTAACTTATGTTAATTTATACAATGTTACATTTTTTAAAAGTGTATAAGTATATGCAGAAATCAACATTAACCTATAATAATAAATACTGTAAAGTATTGTTAGTTCATGCGTTAATGCTAATGCCTTTATAAATGCTAGCCAATGAAAACTTGTTGTATTATATATTATTATCATATTATTACTTATTGTACATTTTTATTATATTATAGTATATTTAGAAATTAACATCAACCTAGATTAATAAATGCTTTAAACATATTTGTAGTTTATTCATTAATGCTAATGTCATAACTAATGTTAACAAACTGAAACTTGTAAAATTGTATATTTTATAATATAAAACTACTTATATTATAACTATATATAATATAACTACTTATTGTAAACTTTTATTATATTTCATATCATTATATCATTATATTTTATATACTGTAAGTTTTTAGATATGCATATTTTATATATTGTGTTTTTTATTTTTTCATAGTTTTTGTATTTTATTTACTTTTTTTGTATTTATCAGAGAAAGCATAAAAAGGATGATCTCAAAGCCTAGGACATGAATACATGCACTTTTGGGAATGCCATCATACTGTACATTTATCGTTCTGATTGCTTTAATTATTATTGATTATAATTTTTTTAAATTACTTGATACAGAAATAATAGTAATTTGATACCCCTGTTACAGACTCTTCGTATCTCAATCCTCCCCAGCTGTCTGTAATCTTGTGTGTAGTGTGTTCCACTAATTTGTTTTGCTTCTGTTATTTGTGATAATCTTTTGTTTTGCTGTAGGTATGTGCAGTATTTCAGCGGTCTGCTCTCCGGCCGCATCAAGATCAACAACAAGCCCCTGTTTCTGCACCACGTCATCATGCACGGGATCCCAAACTTCGAGTCCAAAGGAGGTAAGCTGACATGACTGTTGGCCGTTTGTCAGCGACTGCCGGAGGTGTTGAAGGCAGGTTTCAGGGGTCCGTCTCGACTCCCGCTGCTTTTGACGCCTCCCTGTCAGACTGACAACATGCTGCTCTATTACACACGTCTCGGGTGATCCAATCACAAGAGGTCAGCGCTAAATACAGGTGTAGACGGGGTCCAGAATGTTTTGTGATCTGATCATTGAAACCAGAGTCGGAGGTAGTTAGAAACACATGTGACCGCATCGCATTTGTAGTGTAAATTAATCCATCCTCCCTAGACAGTGACGTGCAGCTTGATTCTCAAATCAGTGCTATGTAAAGGTTTCCAAATGGTCAGCTGATTAAAAATAGAAAAAAAGAAAATAATTTTTTTTTTAAATAATAATAATAAAATTATGGATAAAAAGCACCAATATTGAATCGATTTTACTGATTAAAGAACTCATAGCGATAAATTATCTTATTATTTTAAAGGCATAGTTCACCCCAAAATAATTACAATTATTAATTTTTTTTTTATGTATTTAAAAAAAAAAAATTGTGTCCATACAATATAAGTCAGTAGGGTCTAAAACAACACTGTAATGATATCAATTATGTAAGAACATTATACATTATAAAACGGATAGTTCCGGTCCTTGATTCTGATTGGTTAAGCTGCGTTCGAAGCTGTTGTAAATTACACTATGAACATACACCTTTGTTTACTTCTGTGTGTTGTTCGGCAACCACTTTGTTGGAACCACAACTGTTTCTGAGGAACTAGATTGTTTTGGTGGTACTGTTTTTATTAATATCATTACATTTTATTTGCTCTGTTTTATTCTGTGAAACCTTACTACGTATATGGAATAACCGTTTTATAAAAGCAATAAGCCCCGTGAAGCCGTGGTTTACAGTGAATTTATAACATCTAAGTGGCATTGTTAGGCGCATTGCCAAAGACTATAGAATAGCCAAGACGTGTCACTCGTATTGTTTTGAATGGGGAATAATGCAATGCTCAATATGGCCGCTCAATTGCAGGAAGCCCGCCTTCTGAATGAAAGAGCCAATCGCTAATCGGTAAAGTCAGCGCATCACTGCAGCTACCATTAGAAGTCCCGGTTGCTATAGGAACAGTCAGACAGTCAGTGTGTACTCTTAGGACTGCGCATGCCCACTGGCTGATCTAGCCTGAAAAATAAGCTTTTTATAACGCTATTTGGCTATTTGAAACACCATTTATGACACAGTTGTTGTCAGATTTCTTTGGTAAATTCAAATATGAAACTTAATCGTAAGCTTAGCGAAGAGTTTTGGAGAATTTTATGTTTCCCCATTCAAAGAGATAGGAGGTGCACTTGCATGCCCGAGAGGCGTTTCAAAGATGGCCGCTGAAATGGAGTGCCTGAAACCCCCTTAGCTGTTATAAATTTACTGTAAACCACGGCTTCACTGGGCTTATTGCTTTTTTTTCATTTACTTTGGATACAGAAATAGTACATTTATTTATTTATTTAGTTAGTTAGTGGTTTAAGTGGTTATGATTTTTCGTAGTCCACCACCTTTCAAAATTTGAGAACCATTACTTTAAAAGAAAACCATCCAATCAACACAATTACAACTATATACAGTAAATTCATTGTCTTACGTTTGAGTGATATCAACAAAGTTCAGTTAATTAAAGGTGGGGTAAGCGAGTTTTCAAAAACGCTTTAGAAAACTGATTCGGGCCGACTAGCGAAACAAACTTGTAGCCAATCAGCAGTAAGGGGCGTGTCTACTCATGATGTGGAGGAGAGAGGGTTCAGTGCACAGGACGGACATTAGCCGAGCTGAGCGACAGAAAGATAGAGATGGCGGATAAAAAACAAAAGAGGAAAACGTCTGAGGAACAAAAGAAGGCTTAAGGCAAGAAGTAGGACCCATGTAAATATTGGATCGGCTTTCCAGCGCTAGAGAGTACTCAAGGAGCGGAAGGCCTGCGATCGGACACCGAGGTTGCTTTGTTTCTTCTCGATAGGTGAGTAACACCATGTCTGCGCCGCGACCGCTAAAGTCTGTCTAGTACACTGGACACGACAAAGTGACCGTTGAAAAACATTTGAAATTTGTGTCAGTACATCATGAATAGAATGCAGCAGCAGTTTTCTGTCGGGGATTTGTAGTGTCGTGCTGCATCCAGTGTAGACCATAGATATGTATATATACAGTATCTATGGTGTAGACAGCATCACTGATTATAATGAGTTCCATAGTATATTGTCGCGCCGTGCCACTCGTGTCCGGTGTAGACATGGTGTAACATTGGTTTTGCTTTGTTTCACAGAACTAATCTTTGCCTGGTTTGCGTACGTATGTGTGGGGCGGAGCTAACAAAATAGGGGTGAGACCCTTTTGGGGTAGGGGCGTGTTTGTTTTGGTGATTTCAATGTCAACATTGGCTACCAGAAATCACTTACCCCACCTTTAATAGAAGGCCAGCTTAAATAAATTATGCATGTAGTTATGATATCTCATACACTCTCTTCGACAAAATCCAATCACATGTATTCTTAGGAAGTACATTTGAGATGCATGTAAATACCTGTAAACATTCTATAAACATTATAAAAAACTCTCGCCTTGTATATCTTCAGAGAAGCATATGAACAGGATCTGAGAGAGTTATAGAGACTCCAAAAGGAAGATGTGATTAGCCCTTTAGATACTCCACTTCTAGAGCTCTAGTAACGCCTTCTTTGTTCTCTTTCACTTTCTCTCATGGTTTCTCAGGTTGCCGCCCTTTCCTCAAGATCTACCAGGCTATGCAGCCCGTCTACACATCTGGGATCTAGTAAGAAACACCCCATGTTTTCCTACACGGTATTGCTCATGCTTCCCTGGCATATAGCCCGGCCTTCAAGACGTCCAATCACAGGCGGCCCTCTGTGTCTGGGGGGGTTTCTGAATCACACACACTCAGAGGAGCGTGTGCTTTTCCCATACATCAGAGATTATACTGTACAACAGGTGCATCTGTGTTTTCTAAACTTTTTTTTTTTTCAGTAGTCAATGGCAGTACCATTAAAATCTCAAGATTTTATGAAGGTTTTATGCAGCAAAACTAATATGCTGTTGAAAATGGTAGCTTATTTAAAAATAGTAAAAATACAGTAAATATGAAATATTATTATTTTTCTAGATATACTTATTTTTGTAAGCATATACTGTTCGTGGTAACACATTACAATATGGTTCAAATGTTAACGGTAACTTATGTTAATTTATACAATGTTACATTTTTTAAAAGTGTATAAGTAAATGCAGAAATCAACATTAACCTATAATAATAAATACTGTAAAGTATTGTTAGTTCATGCGTTAATGCTAATGCCTTTATAAATGCTAGCAAATGAAAACTTGTTGTATTATATATTATCATATTATTACTTATTGTACATTTTTATTATATTATAGTATATTTAGAAATTAACATCAACCTAGATTAATAAATGCTTTAAACATATTTGTAGTTTATTCATTAATGCTAATGTCATAACTAATGTTAACAAACTGAAACTTGTAAAATTGTATATTTTATAATATAAAACTACTTATATTATAACTATATATAATATAACTACTTATTGTAAACTTTTATTATATTTCATATCATTATATCATTATATTTTATATACTGTAAGTTTTTAGATATGCATATTTTATATATTGTGTTTTTTATTTTTTCATAGTTTTTGTATTTTATTTACTTTTTTTGTATTTATCAGAGAAAGCATAAAAAGGATGATCTCAAAGCCTAGGACATGAATACATGCACTTTTGGGAATGCCATCATACTGTACATTTATCGTTCTGATTGCTTTAATTATTATTGATTATAATTTTTTTAAATTACTTGATACAGAAATAATAGTAATTTGATACCCCTGTTACAGACTCTTCGTATCTCAATCCTCCCCAGCTGTCTGTAATCTTGTGTGTAGTGTGTTCCACTAATTTGTTTTGCTTCTGTTATTTGTGATAATCTTTTGTTTTGCTGTAGGTATGTGCAGTATTTCAGCGGTCTGCTCTCCGGCCGCATCAAGATCAACAACAAGCCCCTGTTTCTGCACCACGTCATCATGCACGGGATCCCAAACTTCGAGTCCAAAGGAGGTAAGCTGACATGACTGTTGGCCGTTTGTCAGCGACTGCCGGAGGTGTTGAAGGCAGGTTTCAGGGGTCCGTCTCGACTCCCGCTGCTTTTGACGCCTCCCTGTCAGACTGACAACATGCTGCTCTATTACACACGTCTCGGGTGATCCAATCACAAGAGGTCAGCGCTAAATACAGGTGTAGACGGGGTCCAGAATGTTTTGTGATCTGATCATTGAAACCAGAGTCGGAGGTAGTTAGAAACACATGTGACCGCATCGCATTTGTAGTGTAAATTAATCCATCCTCCCTAGACAGTGACGTGCAGCTTGATTCTCAAATCAGTGCTATGTAAAGGTTTCCAAATGGTCAGCTGATTAAAAATAGAAAAAAAGAAAATAATTTTTTTTTTAAATAATAATAATAAAATTATGGATAAAAAGCACCAATATTGAATCGATTTTACTGATTAAAGAACTCATAGCGATAAATTATCTTATTATTTTAAAGGCATAGTTCACCCCAAAATAATTACAATTATTAATTTTTTTTTTATGTATTTAAAAAAAAAAAATTGTGTCCATACAATATAAGTCAGTAGGGTCTAAAACAACACTGTAATGATATCAATTATGTAAGAACATTATACATTATAAAACGGATAGTTCCGGTCCTTGATTCTGATTGGTTAAGCTGCGTTTGAAGCTGTTGTAAATTACACTATGAACATACACCTTTGTTTACTTCTGTGTGTTGTTCGGCAACCACTTTGTTGGAACCACAACTGTTTCTGAGGAACTAGATTGTTTTGGTGGTACTGTTTTTATTAATATCATTACATTTTATTTGCTCTGTTTTATTCTGTGAAACCTTACTACGTATATGGAATAACCGTTTTATAAAAGCAATAAGCCCCGTGAAGCCGTGGTTTACAGTGAATTTATAACATCTAAGTGGCATTGTTAGGCGCATTGCCAAAGACTATAGAATAGCCAAGACGTGTCACTCGTATTGTTTTGAATGGGGAATAATGCAATGCTCAATATGGCCGCTCAATTGCAGGAAGCCCGCCTTCTGAATGAAAGAGCCAATCGCTAATCGGTAAAGTCAGCGCATCACTGCAGCTACCATTAGAAGTCCCGGTTGCTATAGGAACAGTCAGTGTTCTGAGACGTACTCTTAGGACTGCGCATGCCCACTGGCTGATCTAGCCTGAAAAATAAGCTTTTTATAACGCTATTTGAGCAAAAGAAACACCATTTATGACACAGTTGTTGTCAGATTTCTTTGGTAAATTCAAATATGCAACTTAATCGTAAGCTTAGCGAAGAGTTTTGGAGAATTTTATGTTTCCCCATTCAAAGAGATAGGAGGTGCACTTGCATGCCCGAGAGGCGTTTCAAAGATGGCCGCTGAAATGGAGTGCCTGAAACCCCCTTAGCTGTTATAAATTTACTGTAAACCACGGCTTCACTGGGCTTATTGCTTTTTTTTCATTTACTTTGGATACAGAAATAGTACATTTATTTATTTATTTAGTTAGTTAGTGGTTTAAGTGGTTATGATTTTTCGTAGTCCACCACCTTTCAAAATTTGAGAACCATTACTTTAAAAGAAAACCATCCAATCAACACAATTACAACTATATACAGTAAATTCATTGTCTTACGTTTGAGTGATATCAACAAAGTTCAGTTAATTAAAGGTGGGGTAAGCGAGTTTTCAAAAACGCTTTAGAAAACTGATTCGGGCCGACTAGCGAAACAAACTTGTAGCCAATCAGCAGTAAGGGGCGTGTCTACTCATGATGTGGAGGAGAGAGGGTTCAGTGCACAGGACGGACATTAGCCGAGCTGAGCGACAGAAAGATAGAGATGGCGGATAAAAAACAAAAGAGGAAAACGTCTGAGGAACAAAAGAAGGCTTAAGGCAAGAAGTAGGACCCATGTAAATATTGGATCGGCTTTCCAGCGCTAGAGAGTACTCAAGGAGCGGAAGGCCTGCGATCGGACACCGAGGTTGCTTTGTTTCTTCTCGATAGGTGAGTAACACCATGTCTGCGCCGCGACCGCTAAAGTCTGTCTAGTACACTGGACACGACAAAGTGACCGTTGAAAAACATTTGAAATTTGTGTCAGTACATCATGAATAGAATGCAGCAGCAGTTTTCTGTCGGGGATTTGTAGTGTCGTGCTGCATCCAGTGTAGACCATAGATATGTATATATACAGTATCTATGGTGTAGACAGCATCACTGATTATAATGAGTTCCATAGTATATTGTCGCGCCGTGCCACTCGTGTCCGGTGTAGACATGGTGTAACATTGGTTTTGCTTTGTTTCACAGAACTAATCTTTGCCTGGTTTGCGTACGTATGTGTGGGGCGGAGCTAACAAAATAGGGGTGAGACCCTTTTGGGGTAGGGGCGTGTTTGTTTTGGTGATTTCAATGTCAACATTGGCTACCAGAAATCACTTACCCCACCTTTAATAGAAGGCCAGCTTAAATAAATTATGCATGTAGTTATGATATCTCATACACTCTCTTCGACAAAATCCGATCACATGTATTCTTAGGAAGTACATTTGAGATGCATGTAAATACCTGTAAACATTCTATAAACATTATAAAAAACTCTCGCCTTGTATATCTTCAGAGAAGCATATGAACAGGATCTGAGAGAGTTATAGAGACTCCAAAAGGAAGATGTGATGAGCCCTTTAGATACTCCACTTCTAGAGCTCTAGTAACGCCTTCTTTGTTCTCTTTCACTTTCTCTCATGGTTTCTCAGGTTGCCGCCCTTTCCTCAAGATCTACCAGGCTATGCAGCCCGTCTACACATCTGGGATCTAGTAAGAAACACCCCATGTTTTCCTACACGGTATTGCTCATGCTTCCCTGGCATATAGCCCGGCCTTCAAGACGTCCAATCACAGGCGGCCCTCTGTGTCTGGGGGGGTTTCTGAATCACACACACTCAGAGGAGCGTGTGCTTTTCCCATACATCAATGAACTCAGCCGCTGTAGCTTCCTACATGTTCTCAGACTGCAGCTGTGTTGTTATCAGTAGGGATGACCCTTTCTGTTAAATGCAAATACAACGTTTGGCAGCCATGCATTGATAAGTTTAGGCTTATGTTTATGTTTAATGTGGGTTTTTTGTGGTTAACGGTTGTGTGTCTGACTGATGTTTGCAGTAACGTCCAAGGAGACAGTCAGACCAGTATCTGCATCACCATTGAACCCGGCCTGCTTCTGAAAGGAGACATCCTGGTAAGAATGAATCTCACAAAACCTGTCAAAAAACATCCAAGTCATATTTCACCCCAAAATAAAAAATAAATTTTTTTTTATAAAGAATATTTTTTATGAAGTCTATTTTAAGGACGTATGGATCTGACATATTTTTATGACAGTTTAATACATTTTAATACATTGTAACCTCAGTGTATGTGTGAGTTTTTGTTTATTATTATTGTACTGTATTGTACTTTTGTCCTTATTTAAATAATAATGAAGTATTATTATTATTGATTAATTATATTATTATAGACATGGTGTAACATTGGTTTTGCTTTGTTTCACAGAACTAATCTTTGCCTGGTTTGCGTACGTATGTGTGGGGCGGAGCTAACAAAATAGGGGTGAGACCCTTTTGGGGTAGGGGCGTGTTTGTTTTGGTGATTTCAATGTCAACATTGGCTACCAGAAATCACTTACCCCACCTTTAATAGAAGGCCAGCTTAAATAAATTATGCATGTAGTTATGATATCTCATACACTCTCTTCGACAAAATCCAATCACATGTATTCTTAGGAAGTACATTTGAGATGCATGTAAATACCTGTAAACATTCTATAAACATTATAAAAAACTCTCGCCTTGTATATCTTCAGAGAAGCATATGAACAGGATCTGAGAGAGTTATAGAGACTCCAAAAGGAAGATGTGATTAGCCCTTTAGATACTCCACTTCTAGAGCTCTAGTAACGCCTTCTTTGTTCTCTTTCACTTTCTCTCATGGTTTCTCAGGTTGCCGCCCTTTCCTCAAGATCTACCAGGCTATGCAGCCCGTCTACACATCTGGGATCTAGTAAGAAACACCCCATGTTTTCCTACACGGTATTGCTCATGCTTCCCTGGCATATAGCCCGGCCTTCAAGACGTCCAATCACAGGCGGCCCTCTGTGTCTGGGGGGGTTTCTGAATCACACACACTCAGAGGAGCGTGTGCTTTTCCCATACATCAATGAACTCAGCCGCTGTAGCTTCCTACATGTTCTCAGACTGCAGCTGTGTTGTTATCAGTAGGGATGACCCTTTCTGTTAAATGCAAATACAACGTTTGGCAGCCATGCATTGATAAGTTTAGGCTTATGTTTATGTTTAATGTGGGTTTTTTGTGGTTAACGGTTGTGTGTCTGACTGATGTTTGCAGTAACGTCCAAGGAGACAGTCAGACCAGTATCTGCATCACCATTGAACCCGGCCTGCTTCTGAAAGGAGACATCCTGGTAAGAATGAATCTCACAAAACCTGTCAAAAAACATCCAAGTCATATTTCACCCCAAAATAAAAAATAAATTTTTTTTTATAAAGAATATTTTTTATGAAGTCTATTTTAAGGACGTATGGATCTGACATATTTTTATGACAGTTTAATACATTTTAATACATTGTAACCTCAGTGTATGTGTGTGAGTTTTTGTTTATTATTATTGTACTGTATTGTACTTTTGTCCTTATTTAAATAATAATGAAGTATTATTATTATTGATTAATTATATTATTATATATTATTAATCAAGATTAATCGTATCCAAAATAAAGTGTGTGTGTACTGTTTATATTTATTATGTATATATAAAGACACACACATACAGTATATATTAAAAAAATATTTACATGTATTAACGTATATATTTTTATTCATATAATTTATATTATATATAAATATATTTAATATTATGTTTAATATAAACATAACATATTTTTCTTAAATATATACATGTATGTGTGTGTGTATTTATATATACATGAATATACACAGTACACACATATATTATCTACACAAAAACATTTATTTTCGATGCAATTAATCATGACTATTTATTATATATATTGCACTAGCACTATATAGCACTAATTATTATATATATTGTTTCTCTTGGTTTATATATATATATATATATACACTGAACAAAATTATAAACGCAACACTTTTGTTTTTGCCCCATTTTTCATGAGCTGAACTCAACGATCTAAGACTTTTTCTATGTACACAAAAGGCCTATTTCTCTCAAATATTGTTCACAAATCTGTCTAAATCTGTGTTAGTAAGCACTTCTCTTTGCCGAGATAATCCATCCACCTCACAGGTGTGGCATATCAAGATGCTGATTAGACAGCATGATTATTGCACAGGTGTGCCTTAGGCTGGCCACAATAAAAGGCCACTCTAAAATGTGCAGTTTTATCACACAGCACAATGCCACAGATGTCGCAAGTTTTGAGGGAGCGTGCAATTGGCATGCTGACTGCAGGAATGTCCACCAGAGCTGTTGCCCGTGAATTGAATGTTCATTTCTCTACCATAAGCCGTCTCCAAAGGCGTTTCAGAGAATTTGGCAGTACATCCAACCGGCCTCACAACCGCAGACCACGTGTAACCACACCAGCCCAGGACCTCCACATCCAGCATCTTCACCTCCAAGATCGTCTGAGACCAGCCACCCGGACAGCTGCTGCAACAATCGGTTTGCATAACCAAAGAATTTCTGCACAAACTGTCAGAAACCGTCTCAGGGAAGCTCTTCTGCATGCTTGTCGTCCTCATCGGGGTCTCGACCTGACTGCAGTTCGTCGTCGTAACCGACTTGAGTGGGCAAATGCTCACATTCGATGGTGTCTGGCACTTTGAACTTTTTTTTTCCTGGTAGTCAGGAGGATATATATATATATATATATGTATGTGTGTGTGTGTGTGTGTGCTTAATTGGGAAGTCGTGGCCTAATGGTTAGAGAGCCAGACTCATAACCCAAAGGTTGTGGGTTCAAGTCTTGTACCGGCAGGGATTGTAGGTGGGGGGAGTGAATGTACAGCGCTCTCTCCCACCTTCAATACCACGACTGAGGTGCCCTTGAGCAAGGCACCAAACCCCCAACTGCTCCCCGGGCGCCGCAGCATAAACATGGCTGCCCACTGCTCCGGGTGTGTGTTCACGGTGTGTGTGTACACTTTGGATGGGTTAAATGCAGAGCACTAATGGCCACATGTCACGTCACTCACTTAATTGTTGTGATATCAATGTCACAATGTAAACAAATCCTGCTGATGCTGAAATTGTCATACATAAAATGTAACTTCTTATTGTTTTTCTTTGATTTTGGGTTAAATATGATCTGTTCAAAGATTACAGAAACTGGGGGAAAGCAGCTTGGCACAAGTTCTTCCTGCATTTATGGGCATTTCTCAGAGCAACATGCCAATAATAAAGCAGGATGTCTAGAGGGACATCCATCAGTCCTTCATTCCTGATGAGAGCCACTTTTCTCTGCATGGATTTATTTGCATTTTACCTCGGAAAGCTTTTTGGAAGAGAAAGCCAAAAAGAGCAGAGTGCTTTATCATCTGCCATAATGCTGCTTGTAGAGGGGCTCTTTCTCTGATGGGCTCGATTTCAGAAGTCCTTAGTAAGCAAAATCAATCAGAGCTGATCTATAGAGGACTCTAACCTGAACAAGAACCACAACATTGCACTGCACTTCTGCCAAAGCATATTGTAGATCAATAAACGCCTAGCTTGAAAAAGCTTCCCTTGAGGAACAAAGGGGTTCAAATGTTTGAGGAGATAACTGAAAACACTTCTATTTTGCAATATCTATCAATAATTGGTACTTTATGCATCCATTTTGCTTCATCTCCATCATGACTTTATTGTTTTTTTGTTTTTGTTTTTTGTATTCTCAGAGAAGTGGCTTGTTTTTTAAAGCTTCATTTTTCTCAGAGAAGTGGCTTGTTTTTAAAAGCTTCATTTTGTTAATTGTGACTCACTGAGATGCGTTTTCCCGAGGCAGACCCCCCATGTGTGCGGCTGAGCCTCTGCTGCAGTTTGGGAAAACCGCAGGATGCTCTGCCAGCCCCCATCTTCCTCAATTCGGTCGTGTTTGTTTTGTTTCACTCTCCGAACTGAAAAGATGTACATTTTTTGTCCATCTGCCCCAAGTTAAGTAAGTTAATTATAGTTATTTTGGGCAACAGAAAGAGGGATACAGTTTCCTCAGTGGCCAGTGAGGACATTTTTATGTCCTTGTCTGGGTTTTGGAGAGGCTCTGTTGTTTTACATACTTTCACTATACTGACATCTCTGGCTCTGCTGCACCATGGGAAGGCGAGGCGACCAGCATTCAAAACCTCTCAAACAATCCGTTCCAAGCCCATGAATAGAACTTTCTGTGCTGAATATGCGTGCGTTAATGATTTGCCATGCTCTAAAGGAATGTTCTGGGTTCAATACAAGTTGAGATCTACTGACAGAAAGTCATTTCAACTCATCTATCAGCTGAAAACAAAGAAGCATAAATTGTGGTTACAAGTTTAAGTGAAGCAAACTCCACTCACAGGAATTATACCAGCAATGCAAACCAGAAATTCATCCTTTTAGAAAAGTATTAAAACTATTTTATTCACGCTTCAGACTTGTATCTAACAAAATTATCAATTGCACATTTCCGTTTGTAAATCTTTGAAAGTGTTGCTACATTTGTATGAAAGTTACTGCAAATATTTATTTATTTATTAATTAATTATTTATTAGTGCTGTCAAACGATTAATCGCAATTAATCGCATCCAAAATAAAAGTTTTGGTTTACATAATATATATGTGTATGTACGGTGTATATTTATTATGTATATATAAATACACACACATGCATGTTTTATATGAATATAAATATATACATGCAAATATTTTCAAAATGTATGCGGTATGTGTGTGTGTTTATATATACTTAATAAATATACACAGTACACACACACACATATATTATGTAAACAAATACTTTTATTTTGGATGCGATTAATCGCGATTAATCGTTTGACAGCACTATTATTGATGAAATCCTCTGTCTGTCTGTCTATCTATATCTATCTATTTATAATTGTTTTATAAATTGATAATTTATAATTGTTTATTAACCATTTATGTATGTGTATATGTATTTGATTCATTTATAACTATCAATTGTTAATAATAATAATAATATTTATTTATTTTATTTATGTATGTATGTATTTATTTACCATTATTTGTTAATAATTATAATACACTATTTGATTATTATTGTGGTTTTTATTATTTAATTGTTTATTAACTATTTATGTATGTATATATGTATTCGATTGATTTATTACTATTATTAATGTCAAAATAATTGTTAAAATAATTTTAAGTGGTAATCAATGTTATTATTAATTAAACTTAACTTGTGTTTAACCTGGAACATTTATGATTGTTTGTAACTGTAATGCTTTAAGCATCTACTGCTATGACCTTCTTCTGTCTGGCTGAAAAGCAGCATATTGTCAGCTAGAAATAGTGTGCAGTTTCTTTTACCGTTTCCGGTCTGTGTGTTTCACCTGTTGCTGTAATGTGACGTGTGGTTTCTCATGTTGTCTACAGCTCAAGTGTTACCACAAGCGCTTCCGCAGCCCGTCCCGTGATGTCATCTTCAGAGTGCAGTTTCACACCTGTGCTGTCCACGATCTGGGCATCGTCTTCGGCAAAGATGAGCTTGATGAAACATTTAAAGGTACGTTGGATTTGCCTCCGTTGAGTCTTGTATAGTCAGAAGTTTCAATATGCTCTGCCATCTCAGACTACGTTTGGTTGGTTTCATGTGTTTCTGTGTTTGTTTGTTTTAATTAAATCAGCTGCATTGATGACACTGGATGATCAGTCCATTTCCTTTTTCAGATGACAGGTTTCCTGAATATGGAAAAGTGGAATTTGTCTTTTCTTTTGGCCCAGAAAAAATCCAAGGTAAGAACTCTTTTTTTATTATTGTCATTCATGTTCAGCTATTAAATAAATGACATACACATACATTTACATACATCATAGGAATGGACCACCTTGAGAACGGGCCCAGTGTTTCTGTGGACTACAATACCCAGGATCCTCTGATTCGCTGGGATTCTTACGAGAACTTCAACCAGCGCTGTGAAGATTCAGTGGAGGGTGAGTGAAGCTGTAGCCTCATTATCAACAAATGACTGAAAATTATTAGACTTTCTCATAAGTGGAGCCAGAATGGTAGGAAAACAGTTCTATTTTCGCTTCAAACTACTTTAAAACTACTACTTTTACATTTCTGCTTGTAAATCCTCCAAATTTTTAATTTTTCCATTGTGAGGTACTTTAAACACTATAAAAATTGATTTATTTATGTTTTAATTAATTAATTGATTTATTTATAAGAAATATTATTTATTTTACTTTATTTATTATAAAGAAAATATAATAAACACTTTAAAATTTTATATTGTAAATCAAAAATATTATACTTTTTTTTTTTTACTATTGATGTATTATTAATAAATAAGTTATAAATGAATATTTTATTTATTAATTTATTTGCAAAAATTTTCATTTTATTCAGCATTATTTGGATGCTTCCCTAATAAACATCTGCCTAGTCTTTAGACATCGAGGCAGCTCACTAGCTTTGCTTATTCCTTTATTAACTAATGATGGCCACTCAGAGTTCACATACTGTAGAGTTTGTGTTCGGGTCATCCAGCGGTCCCACATCAAATCATCAGCATCCATTGGAGTTTTGTGACAGAGCTGTTTGTGTACACGTGTCTGATAATCTGTGCGTGCGGCGTGACAGAGACTGATTTAATCAGATGTGTTTGTAGTGCTGATCACAGAGGTTGAGTCGAGTTCACATGGCCGTGTCACTGGAATTGTCCTCACACCCTTGTGGTGTAAACTGCGAGCCTCCTTATTTTAAGTTGTGGTGTGCTTCTGCTCCTTAGACATGTGATTTGTTGTCCTTTTTTGAGACATCCTCATTTGGTGGGTCAGCTCTCTGGAGAGGGAAAGTCAGAGTGAGGAATGCAAGGAGGAAATGTATGCAATTCTTTTGAGGTTTGGATGGAAGTACTGCATATACTTTAGTTTATATAGCGTTTTACCTTATTTGTTATAAAATGTTTTAGTGACGTACATAATAAGGTCTTCTCCAACTTTCTAGATTTTGACTACCAGTAGTGTGCAAGATTCAGTCACTCTTAGAATATACCAGCCATTTGTAATGCCTGAAGAAATTACTGCAATTTATCGATTGATTCATATAAAAGTTATACAATTTTGTAAAAATTGGTGCTTACTTATTATTATCGATCTTGGAAACGGTTTTGCTGTTTAACATTTTTGTGGAAACTGATAATTTTTTTTTCCCCAGGATTCTCGAAATATAAACGTATATAAACTATATATACACTACCGGTCAAAAGTTTGGGATCAGTAAGACTTGTGATATTTTTTAAAGAAGTCTCTTGTGCTCATCAAGGCTGCATTTATTCGATCAAAAATACAGGGAAAAAAAAAACAGTAATCTTGCAAAATGTTATCACAATATAAACTAATGGTTTCTCTTTTAATATCCTTTAAAATATAATTTATTTCTGTGATGCAAAGCTGAATTTCCATCAGCCATTACTCCAGTATAAAGTGTCACATGATCCTTAAGAAATCATTCTAATATGCTGACAATATCACTGTTTTCACTGTATTTTTGGTCAAATAAATGCAGCCTTGGTGAGCATAAGACACGTAAAAGCATCAAGAACATAAAAAATGTACTTACTGACCCCAAACTTTTTAATGGTAGTATATGTACTACAATTTGTATATTAAATTCACATACTAAAAATCTGATCATGTATTATTATTATTATTATTAATAATAAGAAATTATACTCAGTGCTGCAGTGGTTACATATTGTATGTTTTGTAGAGCAGTTTAATCTGTTCACCAGCACCTATAAATCAGACCAAAAATGGTGATTTTAACCAGATTTAGTGATTGTTTTGTGTGTGTGTGTGGTATGCATCAGAAAGGACTGTGGGTAGTCTGGAGGTGGTCTGAAGGCTGGTACGATCCCAATATTGAATAGAAAACATCCCACAGAGCCCAGTTTCCCTGTGGGCATTTGACCACAGTCACTCCACACCACCCTGTGTCCCAAGCCTCCATTTCCCTCATCAGCTTCCAGTGGCATTTGGTGAAATATTCCAGGCGTTGGCTGAGAATTGTGCAATTCATGCTGTGAGGAGACAGTCAGACCAATCCTGTCCAGTCACAATGTCCAAAACGACTACAACTATAAATTATTTTGTCTTAGAAAACACCCATACGGCGTGTTTGTTATCTGTTCGACTCGAATATGTTTTGATTACTGCAATCCAAAAAATACTTTGAAAACTGTCGAGACTGTATGGTCGTGCTATTTTTAATATCCCTGGGGTCAAATTTTAGGAGCTCCAGTCAGTTTAGCCCACATTTAAATTCTACTCTGTTCTCCGTTGAAGACATTTGAGATGATGGGCTATAAAGGCTATAAAGTTTGCCACCCTCTTGACCAGTCCCTGCTTTAAATAGGGCAGGCAGAAATAGGAGGCTCTTGGCTGCCACCTTTAAAGGAACACTCCACTATTTTTGAAAATTGGCTCATTTTCCAACTCACCTAGAGTTAAACAGTTGAGTTTTACCGTTTTCGAATCCATTCAGCCGATCTCCGGGTCTGGCGGTAGCACTTTTAGCTGCAGCTTAGCATAGATCATTGAATCTGATTAGACCATTAGCATCTCGCTCAAAAATGACCAAAGAGTTTCGATATTTTTCCTATTTAAAACTTGACTCTTCTGTAGTTACATCGTGTACTAAGACCGACGGAAAATGAAAAGTTGCGATTTTCTAGGCCGATATGGCTAGGAACTATACTCTCATTCAGGCGTAATAATCAAGGAACTTTGCTGCCGTACCATGGTTGCAGCAGGCATAATGATATTACGCAGCGGCTGAAAATAGGCCAACTTCCGCCAACATAACCAATATGACCACCTGCTTGCACAGGGAGCGTGCCTTCTGTTGGAAGTTACCTAGCTGGGGACTATTTTCAGGCACTGCATAATATCATTGCGCCTGCTGCACTCATAGTACGGCAGCAAAGTTCCTTGATTATTACGCCGGAATGAGAGTACAGTTCCTAGCCATATCGGCCTAGAAAATCTCAACTTTTCATTTTCCATCGGTCTTAGTACACGGGGTAACTAGAGAAGAGTCAAGTTTTAAATAGGAAAAAATATCGAAGCTCTTTGGTCATTTTTGAGCGAGATGCTAACGGTCTAATCAGATTCAATGATCTATGCTAAGCTACAGCTAAAAGTGCTACCGCCAGACCCGGAGATCGGCTGAATGGATTCGAAAACGGTAAAACTCAACTGTTTAACTCTAGGGGAGTTGGTAAATGAGTCTATTTTCAAAAATAGTGGAGTGTTCCTTTAAGAGGGGTGTAAACTAATCCAAATCTCCGGTCAAGAGGCAAGACCCCAAACTGCCCCCTGGCAGTGTTTTATGCCCTTTTATAAGATGCCTACATATATTTACCATTCAAAGGTTTGTGGTCAGTAAGATTTTGAAGTGTTTTGAAATAAGTCTCTTATGCTCACAGATGCTGCATTTATTTGAAAAATATGGTAAAAACAGTAATATTGTGAAATATTATTTAGATTTGATACAACTGTTTTCCATTTTCATATATTTTAAAATGTAATTTATTCCTGTGATGCAAAGCTGACTTTTCAGCATCATTACACCAGTCTTCAGTGTCACACGATCCTTCAGAAATCATTCTAATATGCTGATTTTGCTGCTCATTGAGCTCTGTTCCCTGCATGCAGAACAGAGTCTGTCTTCAGTCAGTAAGGACTGCTGAATGGAAAGGGCACATTTGCAATGAATTTAGATGCCTGTCACATAGTCAAATATCTCCATTGAGTGACTGCGGCCAGAGGACCGACTCCAGAGACATGATAAGCAGCCAGACATTATGCCTTTGTGCTGGAGTTCATGCGTCCCGTCTGCCGAGACTGAAGGACTGACTGACATTGTCAGAGGAGAGAATGACTGATAGACCAAGAATAGTGAACTCGCGTCATCATTAACGCTGTCCTTCCTTCACTGACCCTTTGCTTGATTAACCAGCTATTAAGGTTTAATTTGCTAAAGTCTGAAGTATTTAAAAAAACTACACAGTGGAAATGATTAATATGAAATTGTGGCGTGCAGCAAATTCCCATATTCATAAAGAAATAGTTCATCCACAAATAAAAAATGGTCATCATTTTCTTTCTAAATCCCTGATTGTGTCAATTTGTGTTTTTTTTGCATGATATTCACAATGCTTGTTTCAATACAATGAAAGAAGAGGTTATTAATTAGTTTGAACGAATGTCCGTTTGTTCATTCATTCATTTATTCATTTATTTTAAGACACAACTGGAAAACAGGCTAAAACACTCACCATGCTTTCCCAATTGATTAATCACAGTACTTTAAGACAAATGTTTTACACTTTTCTAAAATGTAATGTTTAAATATGCAAATTATGCACTGTCTAATTAAATATGTGCTAACTTGCATACATTTCTAGAACCAGAATCTGAACATTGGATAAAACCTGGTTCAAAATTCATATGAGTAAACCGATTTACAGCGGGTATACTAGATATTTATTTTTACCACTTAGTAATCAGAAAATATGGCAAACAGCCAGAAAAAAATCTGGGTTTTAGGAACAATATGTAAAATAAATGAATATATTATTAATATCTAAATAAATAAATCAGGCAAATAATATATGAAGAATAAAATAAAATGAAGAATAAAGATTGTAATAAAACTGCAGAGTTTGGTCTTTAAATACATAGTTGTTTAAATATGTATTGTAATTTACATTTACAGATGCCAAAAAAGTGTAATAAAATGAAAACTTAAATGTGCATATTGGATGCTTTCTTTATATATGTAATAATAAAAAATAAATAAATCAGTGCATGAAAACTGTAATGTGTTGTTTAAGTTCCAAAAGTTACACTTGTGTGCCTTGTGCTCTAGTCCAAGTTTTCTAAAGTCATAGTTTTACAAAGCTAGTAATAGTTGTAGCTTTGTTTGAGGGACAGGCTGAAATGTTAAATGTTCTTCACATGAGATGCTCTGGAAATTATGTTTGGGACTGCTGATCCCAAACATTCTCACACAAAGCTATTGCATGACTTCAGAAGATTTGGAATTTGGAATTTTGGAGGTTGATTATAATATATTGTAAACCATCATTCATGTTTGTAGTATAGACAAGAGCAGCTTGGCAATCCTTCTCTTTTGTGTTTTCTACTAAAGAAAATGTCAAAGAGTTTTTAGAACAACACAAGTAATGATGAAAAATATAAATTTTGGGGTGAACGATATAATTGCATCTTATATACTTTGAAGAATTAAAGCCATGCAGTGTTTGTTTTTTCCCTTACAGTACTAGAGAAGTAAACCACTATCTTAAAACTCACTCAATCTGTACCGAGCGCCGTAATTACAGTAGCCCACAAATGAGAGGGCGGCGTTTTAAGATAATAATGCTTTATCCCTTCTTGGATGTTAATAGCTCAGTAATTGATGTCTTATCTGCTTCGTGTCTTGACCACAGATAGCACTTCGCTGTTTAACAGGAGCTACTGGCAAGGTTAGAGCAAAACAAGGCCAATCTTTGCTGGTCCACTGATATTTGTACACCTCAGAAACCACAGACACTACACTTGCCTGCCTCAGCGCTGGGCTGGAAGCCAACAAAATAGCTTTCCATGTCTTGTTTTCAATGCCAAGTTTGCTGTCATGAACGTTTATTATAATAGGCATTGTTTGGTTTAATATGTTCTTCAAGTCCATACAAATGGAATTTTGATAATGTGATGTTTCTGAGTGAAATGGAAAGTTTGAAAGGGATTGTGAAAAGTGAGCAAATGAGATTTTTGTATATACTCTTGTCGCATAGCATTATTATTATGCATGTTGTTTTTGGCAGGTCAATATTAATTTAGTTTTTGATGTTG